GTCTCACATAGTGAAAAATTCTCTTTAATTCAAAGAGAATTTGTCGAGGCAAGCTCTTTGTTAATAAGTTCTTTTTTGCCTTATGTTTTGTCTCACGTTGGTAGTAAACAGCTTGTATGTGGAACAATAATATTAAAAATTATTCGCAAAATGGAATACTAAGAATGTGAATGGTTTATGTACGGACATAAAAAAAATATCATATTTGATAATAAAGAAATCCAACGAAGAAGATGATCAGCACCACCACTCGATCGCTATCTGCAAGATAAAACACCCTCAACCGTAGCCGCGAGCCCTCCGACGCCCAAGTCAGTCTTCCAATATTATCAAAATATTTAATGGACTAATTAATAGAGAGAAATTGCATACCTCAACCCATGAGAGTGTTGCCTATTTATAATATTCAATGACTTAGTTAGCAAGTAGTTTAAATATTCCAGAAGTCCTATCCCAAACAATCTTCGGTTGTTCAGAATTTCTATATCTATAAGATTTCATATCCTGATGTGTTCTGCATAACATAAAACAATAATGCAGTGTTTGATAAGAATTTGACAATTGTCATACACATGATAATTTATAATTACGCCACGTGACAGTGTCGGGACCCACATAATTTCTGTATTTATTTTTATTCCCTCTCAATTGCCCACAAACTTTCATTCTCTTTGAACCTAGTGAAAGAGTGGAAGCTTTCTGTTGTTCTGATAAAAATACCCGTGTAATAATGCCTAGCTAAAACCATACATGGATGCTAGGGCTTATTCCAAAATACATAACTTTATTAGGACTTATTCCGAAAATGCCTAGCCTTGTTGAAACTTATTCCAAGAATAGTTAATCTCATTACGACTTATTCCGAAAATGCCTAGCCTTATTCCGAAAATGCTAGGACTTATTCCAAGGATGCTTAATCTCGTGAGGACTTATTCTGAAAATGCATAACCTTGTTAGGACTTATTCGAAGAATGCCTAATCTTGTTAGAAACTACCAAAACACCAACTTGCGTAGTAGCAAGCAAAACCTGCTCGGCAAGGAATCCCACTGTTGGAAAACCACCAACCTACTCTGTAAAAATTTTCAAAGTTGGTCAAACTTGCCAACCCACTTTGCCGAGCAAAACCCACTCGACAAAGATTTTTCAAGTTGGTTAAATCTGATAACCTACTTTGCTGAGTAAAACCTACTCGACAAAGATTTTCAAAGTTGGTCAAACATGCCAACCTAATTCGCCAAGCAAAACCCACTCGACAAAAAATTTTCAAGTTGATCAAACCTGCCAACCCACTATGCTCGACAAGGATTTTCAAAATTGATCAAACCTGCCAATTTACTTCACCAAGTAAAACCCACTTGACAAAGATTTTTCATATTGGTCAAACTTGCCAACCTACTTTGTTAGACAAAGATTTTCAAAATTAGTCAAACTTGCCAATCTACTTCAAAAGGTAAAACCCGCTCAATAAAGATTTTTCAAATTGGTCAAACCTACCAACTTACTTTGCTCGACAAAGATTTTCAAAATTGGTCAAACCTGCCAATCTACTTCACCAAGCAAAACCCACTCAACAAAGATTTTTCAAGTTGGTCAAACCTACTAACTTATCTCTTGCCCAAACCAGCTTGGCAAAGAGATAAAATTTGTAACCAAAGGGTAGCGTAATTCATATTGCCCCCATGGTCCATAAAGCGCAAACTCCATCTCAGCATATTTGACCCAAATAATATTCTTCATTCACATTTGGTATAAAAACTCATATTTTTCAGATAATAAAAATCTGATATAATAATTTGATCTTCCATGTATTCATGGTCAGAATAATAATGCATAAACTCTGTGCTCCATAAATAATTAAAATTCAACACAATACATAATAAAATATCTTTATCCGCAGAGTAATAAAAATCCAATATAATTGATCTTCTATATCTCCATGATCAAAATAATGTATTCTAAAAAACTCCCCTGATTTATCAACCACGTATACCGAGGTCATTAAACAAGGTTAAGTAGGACTGTTGTCAACAACAATCATGATGAGGTCCATCACACCCAATAGACATCAATCTCTTATTGCCTGGTACATTGCCAAATTAGATGTTTAGCAATGGCCGGGCCTTTCTTGAAAAATTGAAATCCCAAGCTCCTCTTCCATCTTAGACCCTCTTACGCCACGTGAAAGTATATGAAGTTGCCTAACCAAATAATTTTTTACAACTTATTTGTTGATCTTTTGTGATGCTGGTAATTGTGAATTCATCTTCTTGGTTGAATTCAATCGATTCCCACAGACGGTGCCAATTATACGAACATAAAAAAATATATATATATTGTATTTGATGATAAAGAAATCCAACGAAGAAGATGATCAGCACCACCACGTGATAGCTATCTGCAAGACAAAACACCATCGGCCATAGCCAGGGGCCCTTCGACGCCCAAGTTAGTCTTCCAATATTATCAAAATATTTAATAGACTAATTCATAGAGAAAAATTGCGTACCTCAACTCATGAGGGTGTTGCCTATTTATAATATTCAATGACTTACTTAGCAAGTAGTTTGAATGTTCTAAAAGTCCTATCCCAAACAATCACCGATTGTTCAGGACTTCTATATCGATAAGATTTCATATCCTGATGAATTTTGCATAATATAAAACACTAATGCAGTGTTTGATAAGAATTTGACAATTGTCATACACATGATAATTTATAATTACGCCATGTGGCTGTGTCGGAACCCACATAATTCCTGTAGTTATTTTTATTCCCTCTCGATTTATATGCACATAAACTTATTTTATGTATCTAATTATGAGCAATGCTACGTACCTCGAATTTAATCTTGGCTCAAATGGCTCGAATTTCTATTCACCGATCGTCCGGTCGGTCGTCCGGCAAAAACGTTGACAGTCGTGGTCAACAAGGTGACAACCTCAGCTGTCAACCTTTTTCCCGGACGACCGGTCAGATGACCAGCCGGACAATCGGTGAACAAAAATTTGAGCCATTCGAGGCAAGATAAATTCGAGGCACCAAGGATTACACTCTAATTATTTGATTTGAGTTAAATGAAACCCATTGGCCCATAGTGTGAACCAATCTCAAATTGTGCAGTAGCCTGTATTGCACGGCTATTAAAAACAGGTCGATCTAATTTACCTTTTTGGTTCTCAAAATGCTTGATCAACGGTTCATATTAAGAGTTGAGAAAAGGTGTTGAGGGTTGTATCTATTGAAGCAGAGACACATCAAAATAAAATGGAAAATATTATAGGTCCAAATTTTTTACCAAATAAATTATCAAATATCTCATATAAGTGTGGAGTAAACAAAATTGCGAATCTCACCCCATGTGAAACCTTCAGTCATTTATTTAGTAGAAATTTGGTACCTTTAATATTACCCAAATAGAATACTATTAAAATTAGGAATTTATAGGAAATCCAACTTTTTCACCCAAGGCTTTTATACTGGCAAGATACGCCTCAAGCCCTTTCCAAAATTGTACATCGAGTTTCTTCTGTCCCACAATAGAATCAAAGGCTACTAGGAGTAACGATACATCCCTCTAATTTTAAAACTTTAATTGAGCTCCAATGATGTAGTAGAGAATACAAAAATAAAAAATAAATAAAACTAAGGCCAAAACATCACATCACAGTGGGATCCACTCCCATTAGAGCTCATTAGACCTCCTTTATTAGAGCTCCCAATCATTTTTCAGGCTGCTAGTGTGTACTAGTTACTAGTTAGTATGTTCCATTCCAAGCATGGCGTGGGCAGTTGGTATGGGTATAATTTGGGCGGACTCAACCCAAATTTTGTTTGAATTTTTTTAGAATTTAGATAAAATATTTTTAAATTTAGTGTAAACTTGAGCAAAAATATAGAAGTCTAAATTAAATTTAACCGAAGCCCGAATTATATATATATCTATATATATATTAAAGGAGCATTTGCACATAAGTTTTATTTTGTGAACTTATACTCCATTAAGTCCTAGATATGATTTGTTATTCCTTCAAATCCCATTACTTTTTAATAGACAAAATTACCTATCAAACAATGGTTATTCATCATTTGGAATTGTTCATAAAATATATATATATATACAAATATATATGGTGATATAACATTTATTTTGATTTTCAAATTTTCAAAACATCATAATTTTTACAATATATATATTTATTTTTAATAAAATTTATATTTCTACAATGGACACAACGAAATCTATCGAACAAGACCAATATTAATTTTTTATTTACAATTTTCTTAATTTCTGACCATAAGTTAAAATTTTAAACAAATAAAATATATCTTTCATACATAAACAAATTGAAAAATATCTCAATTATGAAACTAAGAAAATTGAAAAATTTCTTAGTTAATGAAACAATTATATGGAAACATTTCTATGCAAGACTGAGAAATTTCTCAGTTTTTTCTAGTTTTAAAACTGAGAATTCTTAGTTTTAAAACTGGAAAAAAATAATAAATTTCTCAAAAATTTATAATATTCTCAATTAATACTAGAAAAAGCTGAGAAATTTCTCAATTTTACTGAATAGTTTCGCAAACTGAGAAATTGTTAATTTCATATAACTAAAAAAATAATATTTTATTTTTATAAAATTTTATATTCAATATTAGTCTTAATAGATCTCATTGTGTAAATTTTAAAAAAAAATAATTTACATTAATTTTTTTTTTTTAAATGTGTATAATAAAGTTAAGAAGTTTTTAAGTTTTAAAACAACAAAACAAAAGTAATGTGGCACTAGCAATCCCTAGTTGAATAAGAGAAATTATCTAATGTTTTTGAGGCATGGTTAAGTAGTTACTAAAAGATTTGTGATTGGTGGAGAGGGTGTGACCCACAATTTTGTATTGGGGTATGGGGTATGAGGTATGAGGCATAATACTTGGTGATTGGTGAATAACATTGTCAAATGGTGCACTTGTAATACTTAATAATTTTTTATTAGCACTCAATGAATTAACGTTCTCAATTCCTTCTGTCTTTTAATAAGGATAAAGCAGTCACATGCACAGTTCCTTGTTTGATACTTCCTCATCATCTCACCTTCTATGTTCCTCATCATGGGTTGTTGCTGCACTTCTTTTTCATACTCTGTGTTTCCCAATGCAAAAATCCTCTGCTGGCGCTGCCTCACCATCGAACCACCATTGTTCTTCGCTGAAAGTTGTTTCTGTTCCATTTTTTTATAATCTGCAATCTTTACCTTCAGAGCTTTATTATCGCACCATAAACCATCAGCCTTTTGCACCGCCATGTCTGCTACAACCTTACAGTCGTACCTTACAAATTCGAACCAAGAGCCCAGAACTTGTCTTCTTTTCATTGGAATAAAAATATCCTTAACTATTCCGAACTTACTGAATAAAGTATACAAGCTTTTTGGATCCATAGAGTTTGGAATCTCATCTACAAAGATGGTAAACAACCCATCTACATCCACATTTTGGCTGCTTTGATTGCCCACTCTTCCTGATCTTCTTCTTCTAAGCACCAGGTTCCACCCTCCTCTCTCCATATACTTTGTCTATGGAATCCAGAAATCTTTCTCCTAAAGGAGTGTTGCAGTAATAGAAACTTCATTTTGTTGGCAGGTATTTCACTCAATTGTTTTGATTGTGTTATTGTAAACATTTATGCACCAAATGATGTATTGAGAAGAAGGCAGCTATAGGAGTCTTTAGTGAAGCTTAAATCCACTTTTTTAAAACCTTGGTCTGTATGGGGGGATTTTAATGAAATTAGATTTATGAGTGAACGAAAAGGGTGCTTGAGGAGGGATAGAGGAATGAGAGATTTCAATGATCTGATTGATAATTTGGAGCTGTTAGACATTCCAATGCTAGGCAAAACATAAACATGGTGTAATGCTTTGGATGGGGAAAGGTGGAGCCAGATTGATAGATTTCTAATTGATCATAGGTGGTTGGAGAAGTTCTCATTTAAGCAGTGAGGGCTACCCAGGACTCTTTCTGACCACTGCCCAATATTGCTTATGGAAAATGAGAGGGATTGGGGACCTAGGCCATTTAGATTCATAAATGCTTGGTGTTTGCATCCTAATTTTAAATCTAAAGTGCAGACATCTTGGGAAAATAATCAAATTAGTGGTTGGGCTAGTTTCATGATAATGAAAAAGTTGGGAAATCTCAAAGTACATCTCAGAAGGTGGAATTGTCAAGTGTTTGGAAACATTGATGAACAATTGAAAAAAACTGAGGATGAACTCCATGAATGGGACATTGAAACAGAAGGTAGGAATCTGTAGGAAATTGAGATTGTAAGAAGATGAGAGGTTCGAAGGTTAGTTTGGGAGTTGAGTAAAAAGAAGGAGTGGTTATGGCATCAGAAATCTAGATTGACATGGGCAGAAAATAGGGATAAAAATACAAGGTTCTTCCATTTAATGGCTAGTAGAAGGCAGAGGAAAAATCTGCTAGATCCTGTAAATGAGAATGGTATTATATATGATTAGCCTAATATAATTAAACAAGCAGTGGTAAGATATTTCAGCCAACTATTCTTTGATGATTGGAGGAATAGGCCAAAATTGTCAGGTGTTTTTGTCTCAATTAGTCCTATAGAATCTGGTTTGTTAGAGGCAGAGTTTTCAAAGGGGGAAATTTGGGAAGCAGTCAATGATTGTGATGGTAATAAAGCTCCCGGGCCTGATGGGTTTAACTTATCTTGCATTCAGAAATGCTGGCATATAATGAAGGGGGTGTTAGTGCAGCTTATGAGTGAATTCCATGCTAATGGTAAGTTGGCTCGATGAGTGAACAGTTCTTTTATCACTTTAATTCCTAAAAAAGACAATCCTATGGGTCTGGGTGATTATTGGCCTATTAGTTTGGTAAGTTCAGTGTACAAAATAGTTGCCAAGGTTTTATCAAGAAGGTTGAGGAAGGTGCTTCCAAAGTTTATTAGTGAAGTGCAAACATGCTTTTTGAATGGAAGATGTATCCTGGATGGGGTGATAATAGCCAATAAAGTGGTGGATTGGTGAAAAAGATCAAAGAATCAAGGTATCATTCTAAAGTTGGATTTTGAAAAGGCATATAATTCAGTAAATTGGAAGTTCTTATATTCAATGGTGACCAACTTTGGTTTTGGAAAAAAATGAGTGCGTTAGATGAAGACTTGTATTTCAACAACTAGAGTCTTAGTGTTAGTGAATGGTTTTCTCACATCAGAATTTTCTCCAATGAAAGGACTTAGGCAAGGTGATCCCCTTTCACCTTTCCTTTTTAGTATTGTTATAGAGGGCCTTAATTTATTATTGGAAAGAGCAAAAGCAATGGACTTGATTAAAGGAGCTTCAATTGGTCAAAATGAGCTGAAATTATCTCACCTTCAATTTGCAAATGATACCATCATATTTTGTGAAACAGATTGCTAGGAAATAATTGCTATCAAGAGAATATTAAGATGTTTTGAGGTTATGTCAGGATTGAAAATTAATTTTCACAAAAGTCAGGTGTGTAGGATAGGTGTTTAGGATGATTTGGTGAAAGAATTTGCTGCAAGGCTCAATTGTCATAGCCAGAAACTGCCTATGAAGTATCTAGGGTTGCCTTTAGGAGCAAATCCTGGGAGAAAGTCTACATGGCAGCCAGTGGTGGATAAATTCAAGAAGAAGCTAGCTTTATGGAAGAGAAAGTGCTTGTCTTTTGCAAGAAGGTTAACCTTGATAAGATCAGTGTTGTCAAGTTTGCCGGTTTATTTCTTATATCTGTTTAAAATGCCAATGGGTATTGCAAGTTCAATTGATAAAATTCAGTCTAACTTTCTCTGGGGAGGATCTGAGATGAGGAGAAAAATACATTTGGTTAGTTAGAATGAGGTATGTTTGAGTAAGTTTCAAGGAGGGTTAAGGGTTAGGAATTTGAGGGAGGTAAATGATTGCTTATTAATAAAGTGGTGGTGGAGGTATGGTAGAGAGGAGAATGCATTTTGGAAACAAGTGTTGTGCAGTAAATATGGAGGGATTGGTGGCAGATGGAGTCCATTCTTAGTGAATTCAGATTTGATGTCTACTTTGTGGCAGGATGTATTATCGATGAATTTGACTAATCCTGCTTTGAGTGAATTCATTTTTAACAATGTAAAAACAATTGTGGGTGATGGTAAAAGGATTCAGTTTTGGGTTGATAAATGGTTTAATAATCAGAGCCTTAGTGAAGTCTTTCCTAGATTGTTTTCATTATCAACTGAGAAAGGTTGTTCACTGCTATATTTTTTCAATAAGAAATGAGAGGGTCAGGACTGGAAGTTAGCTCTTAGAAGGCCCCTTTTAGCTTGGGAAGATGAGGAGGTGTCCAAGTTGAATGATTTGTTGTCTAATGCACATACTCTAAATGCAGAGGTTGAAGATTCTTGTTATTGGTTAGCACACTCTTCTGGGTCATTTACTGTGGCATAAGTGTGGCAAAGAATGGAATCATCCAAAGGACCTGAAAAATCAATTACAAGAAGTATTTAAGGACTATTGCTCCTCCCAAAGTGTAATTTTTGTGTTGGCTAGCATAGAGAGGTAGGATTAAATCCTCAGGTCTGTTGCTTAGGATAAGAGTACTGAATCCCAATGTTAGTACATTGTGTGTGTTTTGCAAATCTGAAGTGGAGACCATGAATCATGTGTTACTCCATTGTCATTTGATTTGGAGAGTTTGGTCTAATATTGTGAAATGGTGGAATCCGTGTTGAGCCATTCCCAGTTAGTGAAGGAACTCCTACATTGGTGGTCAAGTATAAGATATAAGGTTCAGATGGTGAAAATTTGGAAGGTAGTTCGTTTAGCAATGTTGTGGTCTGTATGGAAACTCAGAAATGAGTGTGTGTTTAATGAGGCAAAGCTAGATTTTGCAGATTTGACTGACTTAGTGAAGATTAGAGTGGCTTTATGGAAAAAATCTCATTTGAAAGAGTTGAAGTACTTAGTTTATGACATAGTATATAATCTGAAACAGGTCTGTTTTTGTGTATAGTTTGGTGTCAATCTAGTTGCTGCTGTAGAATAGAGGTATATTGATTAGCAGATGCAGCTTCAGATGGTTGTATTCTGGGTGCTGCTAGATAGAAGCTGTTATGCCCTGAATGCCTCATATCTGATATGTCCTTGTGTTCTATTTGTTTGATTGGGTTCTGTTCTGTCTGGGCTCTGTTCTGTCTTCTGTTTTTTGCTGGTTATTTGTTTTCTCAGATTCTTAGCTGTTTGATTGTAGTTTCAGCTGGTTTAGGTCTGCCGTCCCTTGGTGAGATTGGTATGTTGTTATTTGGTGTGTTTTTTCTGCTGTGATATGGTATGTTTTCATCTGGGGTCTGCTGTCTTTTGGAGTTTTGGGTGGCAGGTTGGAGTAGCTATTATTGCTGTTGTGCTGATTGGGCAACACCTAGCTCTGTTGTTTTCGTCTCTGATTTAGTGTTATCTATGTATTTGTTGCTACCTCATCAATAGATTCTTGGTTGGTGCTATCATATGATTGTGTGGGCTGCTTCGTGCCAACCTAATTGGGATTGGCGGTTTCACGATGATGGCCTTTGCATCAACCCCCCTCCCCTCCTTTATTGATGTCTTTCTTCCTTCTTGTAAGGTTTTCTTCCATCAATAAAGTTCTAGTATTGATCAAAAAATGTACATAAATATTTTAAAAATAGGACTTTATAGGGAAATTGTATTTCCACACACCAAGTTTCCTTACTCCACACACTTAATGAATTTTTTCAGAATTACAATTTTATCCTTTAACAAAATTACTATCTCACCCATCACCATCTCACCCACACATCTCATAATTTCTCCATACACATCTCACTCCAATATTGCCTCCGAGTTGCCTTGTAGAAAGAGTCAAATGATGTCAACTTCAGACCCATCTATCCTAGTTAGCATGAATGATGAAAAGACAATGTTTATTTTAATTCAATTCATGGAATGCTAGTTAAGCTCTCTTCTAGAAAACAATTGTAAGAATCTCACTGATTTTGCTAAGAAATATCAGATAATTGGGGACTTGCTCCAAGTTCTTGTGATGTGTTCATGGATTAGAAGACCCAGATTGTGCCCTTGCTAGACCATCAACTGCCGCTTCTTAAGGGTGCTAGATAACATGATCGGTATTGCAAGAACGTGCCATATACGCAAAAATATACGACCGGTGATAATCGTGATGGAAATGACAGCGACCGGCGATGATCGCGATAGAGGTGACGGAAACGTGAGGGTTTGTGTGAGAATAGCTAAGAGGTTGGGAAGGGGCGGTGGTTGATGTCGTTGCTGTCGCCGTCGCCAATAAGTTTTTGGAGTGAGAAAGGATCGAAGGAGATGATGTGCACAGAGAATGTGAGGGTATATTTGGAATGTAAAGTGTGTGGTTTAAGATAAAGAAGTAAAAATCGAATTACTAAATGTGTGGATTGAGAAAAGATGTACATAGAGATAATTTGGTGTGTGGAAATAGAATTTCCCGACTTTATGGGTTAAAAACAAAAATAATGATAAACTACTAATAGGTCCTA